TTTAATAATTTAAACAAAAAAGAAGGTCGAGGAAGAAGAACCAAAAAATTATTTTAATTTTATTTTAATTCCATTTAATAAAATTAAATAAAAGTTAATTAATTCTTCCATGAATTATGAAATAATTATAGTATGTGAGATTTGATTTAATAAAATTAAATGAGAGTTAATCTATTTCTTTATAAATTAAGAGTTACTTATGCTAGGTGAGACTAATTAAATGGGAAAATATATTAATTGTTTTAATTTTTAAATATAAATAAAGTAAAATTAAGGATTAAAGTAGTTTTTAAATTATTTAAAATTTTAAAAAAATCCACATAATCATCTTTTACATGATGGATTTTCCACCTAATATTGAAAATGTAAAATAGTTAATCACTTAGCAGAAAAATTAGTTACATCAGTACTTAACTGATGGAAAGATGAAATTAATGCTGAAAATTGAACTTGAAAGATGTTTTCGGTACTTTCTAAAGTTCAAGGATGAATTGGTTTAAAAATAAAAGCTGAGGGGCCAATTCAGGTATTTAACTTAAAAAAATATGTTAGCCACGTTAGCATCATCACCTAATTAATCCTTAAATAAAAAAAGTTAAAAATTGACATTTTTAAATAGAAAAAGTTAAAAGTTGACATCCTTATTTAGAAAAAATTAAAAGTTGATATCATTATTTAAAAACTGACAAAGTTAACATCTTTAAATACAAAAAAATGCAAAGTTAATATTTTTATTTACACTTTTACTCAAAAATTAAGGTCTCCCCTTGATTTATTTAGAAAAAAATTAAAAGTTGACATTATTATTTAAAATTTGATAAAATTAACATCCTTATTTGCACCTTTACTCAAAAATTAAGGTCTCCCCTTGATAATGCACCGAATGGAATAGCCAGCTCAAGAAGTTCAAGACCATTAGGTGCTTGTTACATTACATAAGCGGAGACGGAGCCAGCAAAGGAAATGGGAGGACAGCCACCTCCTAAACTTTTGAAAAATGTCAAATATTGTATATATATTTTTATCTTTAAAAAATTTTTATTTTTAAATTTTGAATTATAAAACCATATCAAATATTACAAAAATTTAAAACTTAGATAAAGAGACCATTTCTCTCTTTATGACTAATCTTATAAAGACATGATAAGTTTATCTAAGAATAAATATAAAAAAAAGGTTGGATCTAGTTATATTAATATAACTTACATAAATTAGTTGTATATAATATTTGTTTGTATAATTTATATTCTATTAAACCAATGGAAGAATTTATTCTATTCATATAAATTATATGTTTCAATTTAAAATTAATTTAATATATAACCTTATGAAAAAAAATTATATTTTTATATTATTTATTTAATGGCCTCAAATTATATGTTATTTTAAAATAGTTAAACATATCTAATTAATTTAAAATTTGACATTGAGTATATAAGTGGTACTTAAAATTAGTGACTAATTTAAAAACCGGTGTGAAATATACCATTTAAATCGATAAATAACTTACAAAAAATTTTAAAAATTTACCCCCTAACATAACTTTCTAGCTCTATCCCCTGTGCATAACTAAGTGAACAATTTATGTTGCTTGAAGAATTTTAAACCTTATTAGATGTTTTAAATCGACATCTTGCTCTATTATGTCCTTGTTGTTTGTAGTGGGAAGGAGACATAATTCTTCTTTTCCTGTCAAACTTAAATTAGTTATTAATGAAAAATAATTTGTATATCTTTTGATTTAATGTATAAATCAATACATACCAATTCAACCATTAAAATCTATAATTTTAAGTTTTTTTGCTTTTAATTCAAATTCAAAAATAATAAATTTTAATAAATATATTATGAAATATATTAAATTGAAAAATATACTAATCAATATCTATTATTAGTACATATGTACCATGTGCACGGAATTCCATTCTTTTGCAATGTTCTATAAGTGCATGTCCTTTTTTCTATTTAAATTATTGATATGGCTCTATATCTTTAGATACAACCATATTGTCAAAGATTGAGAAACACATATATTGATTCAAATTTCTCCCACAAATTTCTTAGAGTAATTCTAACGATTTAAATAATTCAGTGGTTATCTTTTTTTATTAGAAGTGAAAGATCTTGATTTTGAATCGCATAACATGCAGATATGATGTGATTAGGGATGAGATATGATAAGGAATGTGGTGTGATTAGGGATGTGATATGATAAAGGATGAGAGATAATTGCCTTCTACTGTGCAATCAATAAAAAAAAAAAAAAAACTTCTTGGAGTAACCTCATAACACATTTGAACCCAGACTTTGATGTCATTATCATTAGGCCGCCGCTTGGTTGGCCTTAAAGTGGGTGGATGTGCTTATGATAACTTATTATTTTATTAAGACTACCAATGGTTATGATAACTTATTATTTTATTAAGATTACTAAAAAATTGTTTAATTTGATTGATCTATTATCTATTC